CAGGTCAGTCATTATAGTTGACAAGTATATGTTTTTGCAAAGATTCTTTGCTATTTAAAGCAACAATATATCTTTTTTTTTACATTAAAATAACTTAAAGTCCCTGTGGCTGCTCGTATTGTTTATTTCCAGCCATTTAATGCTTAATCTTGGGAACCTCTAGATTAGCTTGGCACCCCTCATAACTCCAAATAGGCTAATTATTTCAGAACGATAAAACCAGAGAGCCTCTTCCTAAAACAAGAGGATAGTTCGTAAACACACACACCTGCTGTTGCCGGTGTTGTCGCAAGTGGACAGCACATTGAACTGCAACGGCATTAATTAATTTGAATGTCTCCTCCATAGATGGTTAAACGACGGTATATGTACCAATGAAAAGAGATTTGTAACACTCTAAACCAGGGGTCGGCAACCCGCAGCTCCGGAGCCGCATGTGGCTCTTCAGTCTCCTTGTTGTGGCTCCCCTCCGGGGGGAGTGCGCGAACCTGGAACATGCGAAACCCTTCTTGGAAAGCAAAGGCCTCAGCTATCCCAAACTGGGAGACCTTGATTGGCTGGAAAAGTTTTATTTCATGGTGGATATGACCAGTCACTTAAACACGCTGAATAAAAATCTCCATGGAAAGGGAAGCGTGGCCCTGCAGTTGCTGGAGGATGTTCTGGAATTTGAGCGCAAGATGACAGTGTTTGCCAGAGACGTACAAAGAGGTATGCTCTCTCTCTTCCCCTCCCTGAGAGAGTTCAAAGAAGAGATCACATACATTTTGATTATTTACACCTTGCAATTATGGCAATGCAAGCTGCATTTGGAGAAAGATTCAGTGAGTTCAGAAAGGAAAAAACACTGTGTCCTTCCCTGTCACACCGCTGGACATCGACCCATCCCTGTTGAACATATCCACATTCACAGAGATAAGTCAGCCCGATCTTGAAATTGAACTGGCCAAGATAGCGGATAAAGACTTATGGGTATCCAAGTTCAAAAGCCTGACAGCGGATCTCAAAGAAGTCGCCCATCAGAAGGCCAATCTGGCTAAACAGCACAAATGGAATGATATTGAAAACCTCCCCAAACCCGACAAACTTGTTTTTGAAACATGGAGTGCCATTCCCGACACATATATGAACATGAAAAAGTATGCATGTGGAGTCCTGTCCATCTTTGGCTCAACATACTTATGTGAGCAAGTTTTCTCGAGCATGAACTTCATAAAGACCAAATATTGCTCCTGCCTCACAAATGAGAGCCTACAGTCCTGTGTGAAGACCAAACTCACCCCGACACAGGTCAGAACAGCATCAGAAACAGAAGGCACATTAAACAGGTGAGAACACTAGCATTTAGTAGAATATTATTTTTCAGAAAAAAACATTTATTTCAGACCCAAAACTGAAGTGGTTTTTAGGGGTCGGCAACCCGCAGCTCCGGAGCCGCATGTGGCTCTTCAGTCTCCTTGTTGTGGCTCCCTTCGGGGAGACGTGCTGAAACACTTCGCTGCTTGTCTGGAACATGCGAAACCCTTCTTGGAAAGCAAAGGCCTCAGCTATCCCAAACTGGGAGACCTTGATTGGCTGGAAAAGTTTTATTTCATGGTGGATATGACAAGTCACTTAAACACGCTGAATAGCTTCAGAGTAGGCCTACGCATGCACATTGCACTTCGGTTTGTTGTATTCTGTTGTAACAGGTAAAATTAAAAAAGATTAAATATTTTTAAAAGTTTATAAGCTGTGTTATGTTTTGCGGCTCCAGGCTATTTTTCTTTAGTGGAAGAGGGGGCAAAATGGCTCTTTTAATAGTAAAGGTTGCCGACCCCTGCTCTAAACAAAGCGGGTAACTGAGAAACAGTAACTTCTCCAGCCTTACAACAATTCTCTCTAATGTTACAGAAACAAGGCAATAACTTTTTTTTTAATATATAAACTAACCATTAAGTCCCACTGAGTAGTGGAAACATTTGATCTGCAAAATCTTATGGCAGAAGAAATGAAAATGACTGTTCTGTACACACTGCTGTACTGACCAGTTTGAATTCTAATTTCACTCTAGTCTATAACTAAATAGTTGTAGAGAGTAAAGTGAAAATAGAAATACAGTTTAATACACAGTAAATTTAACAGCTAGTCCAAGTGAGGATATGTGGTTCTTTTTCTTGCTGTCATTTACAGAAAAGCTTGTTGTCAGTGAATAATACAGAAAGGGGGGAAATCGCATATTAATTTGCAATTGCAATACTTCTCTCAATAGTTACAGTGGGGCGAAATAAGTATTTGATACACTGACAATTTTTCAAGTTTTCCCATTTATAAAGAACTGACAGATCTGTAATTTTCATCGTAGGTACACCTCAACTGTGAGAGACAGAATCTACAAAAAAAATTCCAGAAAATCACATTGTTAGATTTTTAAATAATTTATTTCCATTTTATTGCCTGAAATAAGTATTTGATACAATAGAAAAATAGAAATTAATACTTGGTACTGACACCTGTTTACAATTCCAGAGCTACGACGTATCCTGTCGTTCTTGAACGGGTCTGC